GAGTGTATATATGTAAAGCCACAACAATACCCTTTCAGTGTGAGGGAGGGGCCCCGGTGGAACTTTTTTTTTTGTTATGCCAGAGTTTAGCTTTGCATGGCTTCAAGGAGAACTATGGGGGGGAGTAAAAAGTCCTCTTCCCAATAGTTTGAGCCAGCGTTGACACTGCAGCTGTGACACACCGGCACTATAGATCGGGAACTGAGCAATCCAAACCACTGATCGCTCAGCTCAGTTTTCTCCCTGCAGAGAACGGTGACTGTCAGTCTCCGATCCCCACAGGGATTCCCTCCTCTAGTGTTTATTGGAGGGGGCGGGCACAGTTTTCTTTGGCTCTAGAGAGGCAGAGCCAGCTGTCAATCTGGCAGTGGGTGGATCCCGACAGACAGGGAGGGGGCGGGCACAGCTGGCTCTGGCTATAGAGAGGCAGAGCCAGCTGTCAATCAGGCAGCAGGGTGGATCCCCAGGTCTGTATCCTTCCCGGCTGCAGCGCTGCTCTCTGTGCTATTGCGCGCTATATGCTGACAGCGCAGAGCCGCACTGCTGCCGAGAAGGGACCCGACAATGTTGTAGTTTCTCTTTTGGGTCACAGGAATAAATTTACCCCTGTGTCCCAAGAGAACTATAGCCAAAAAAAAAAAAAGGTTTGGCCATAGTTATAAGTTGTCTTCCACCAGATTTCATGACACGTCACCTGCGCACAGTTGAAGATCTCCCTATTGACAGACCCCGTTGTGCCCGTCGGCCGCGTTGAATAAACTTGTCGTATTTTCCGCGCGCTTTTACCGACAACGCCATTTGCTGCTTGTAAAGCTTTATCGCTCTCTCCGGGATCCCGCAGCACGCGCCATCATTTTGTTTCTCTGTTTGTTTTGTAAGCCCGAGCGTGCCAGGACGGCAGTTTGTGTCGTATTAGGATGTTATGTTTGGTAATGCCCGAGTCTCCCGTCGCTCTGATGTTCAATAGACTTGTGTTTTCTCTTCAGTGCGCTCAAGGACTTGTTCATCTGGAGATTGGAAGGCTGAGAGTCGGCTCTTGGCTGTCGTCCAGGAAATCTTACCCGAGCAGTCAGGTATGTGTTTGCTGGTTATGGCTAATAGAGAAAAAGGTTTTGTTTACAGCTCCTACTGTGCCGCACGTTCTGCAGCCGTTACCCTGCCGAGCGCGTCTTATAATGCCAGAAAATCACATATTATAATACTAGAAATCTGCAGGATGTAGACTCTGCACACGTTAGTGGCTCGGAATCATCAAGTAGTATTAAGCATGCTGAAGTAGTCTCTCAAGCGGTATTATTACATGAAGTATATCTTGTGAGGCTCAATCATAGCTTGCTGTATCAAGTCCAACTTCTGAGTGTAGACCAGGTAAACTCCACACACATTAAAGACCTAGAATTATTGAGCAGTATTGGGGATGCTCAAGTAGCCTCTCGTGAATATTATCACATGAAGTATATCCTTCAGAAGGCACTGTAGCATGCTAAAGCAGCCTCTTAAGTGGTATTATCACATGAAATATTGATTGAGAGGCCGCACTGTCATAGCTTGTATCAAGTCCACTTTCTGAATGTAGACCAGATACGCTCCGCACACGGCTATCTATCTGATCTATATATCTAATCATGTTAATCATTGGATTCAGGTGTTCTGTGAAATTTCCTGGCTACTAAATATTCCACGGTCACCTGTTAGTGGGATTATAACAAAGTGGAAGCAACTGGGAACAACAGCAACTCAGCCACGAAGAATGACAGAGCGGGGTCAGCGCATGCTGAAGCGCACAGTGCGCAGAAGTCATCCAACTGTCTGCAGAGTCAATAGCTACAGACCTTCAAACTTGGTGTGGCCTTCAGATTGGCACAACAACAGTGCGTAGAGAGCTTCATGGAACGGGTTTCCATGGCCGAGCAGCTGCATCCAAGCCGCACATCACCAAGTGCAATGCAAAGCGTGGGATGGCGTGGTGTAAAGCACGCCGCCGCTTGACTCTAGAGAAATGGAGACGTGTTCTCTGGAGTGACCAATCACGCTTCTCTGTCTGGCAATCCGATGGACGTGTCTGGGTTTGGCGGTTGCCAGGAGAACGGTACTTGCCTGACTGCATTGTGCCAAGTGTAAAGTTTGGTGGAGGGGGGATTATCTTTCAGGGGTTGGGCTTGGCCCCTTAGTTCCAGTGAAGGGAACTCTTAAGGCATCAGCACACCAAGACATTTTGGACAATTTCATGCTCCCAACTTTGTGGGAGGAGTTTGGGGATGCCCCCTTCCTGTTCCCACATGACTGCACACCCTAGCACAAAGCAAGGTGCATAAAGACATGGATGGGGGAGTTTGGGGCGGAGGAACTTGACTGGCCTGCACAGAGTCCTGACCTCAACCCGATAGAACACGTTTGGGATGAATTAGAGTGGAGACTGCGAGCCCGGCCATCTCCAACATCAGTACCTGACCCCACAAATGGTCCAACATTCCCATAGACACACTCCTAAACCTTGTGGACGCCTTCCCAGAAGAGTTGAAGCTGTTATAGCTGCAAAGGGCGGAGCCAACCCAATACTGATCCCTACGTACTAAGACTGGGATGCCATTAAAGTTGATCTGCGTGTAAAGGCCGGCGTCCCAATACTTTTGGCAATATAGTGTATGTATGTATATATAGTGCGAGAGAGAAACCATGAGAGATAGAGAGATTTAGTTTCCAGGTGCAGTATTGGCAGTACTAGATTTGTGATCTAGATGATGGTTGTGTATTGTGACGGGTAATTGGGGAGATCACACAGTTTGGTGTGAAGCAATGTAAGGCTGAATTATAAATTCTTTTATATTCTCGGCTCCGATACTCGTGGCCCTCATCCCGGTGGGCTTTGTTGAAAACTCCCTTATTTGCTTCTTTATTATAAAACTCTTTTTGTATGCTCCCCCTTATTATGAAGCCCCCGTTCCTCCTGTTCTCATGGTCTGCACCGTCTTATTGATCATCATTTATATGAGTTGGAGCCTCTGACTGATATTGATCCACCACAGGAGCAGCACAATGCACTATTATCCTCAGGAAGATCTATTAAAGGGCTGCGACAGTAAAATTCATCAGGGGAGCTCTTGATAACCGCCATCCTCATGAAGTGCTAATTGCAATCAATTATATAAATTCTCTCTTCACACAGAGATGGGATCAATACAGACACCGACGTCTACATTGCTGCTGCGTGCCCGAGTACTGGCGATGGAAGACTATTATTTTGTCTTTGCAAACTTTTTATTTATATTGTCAGATGTGCACATGCCCGGCCATTGGGAGATGTGCCCACGCCCGGCCATTGGGAGATGTGCCCACGCCCGGCCATTGGGAGATGTGCCCACGCCCGGCCATTGGAAGCAAATAAATTACAAACAATAGTAAAATATCCAATATTCAGTAATACTGTATCTGTATAAAGCTGACAATTGTTGTGGGCATACAACACCAGTCACTTAATTCCAGCCTCCCTTTTCTCCCCCCCCCCTCACCTAGTCACAAAACTCCTTGTATTATTTTGACAGAATGCAAAGCGTTCTGTGAATGGTGGATGGACCCTGTCTGCACTTCTCTTGTAGGTGACTGACGTCCAGCATCACTTCCTGTGAACCCAGGGCACCATGGACACGCCCCTGAACCCCTTAATTCGCAAGAAGCATCATCAAGCCAGCCTATTTTCATAGATGATGATGTAGAAAACAGAACCTATGTCACTACATGAGCGTTGCATCACTGAGGACAGCCCACCACCGATGCAGGAAGAAAACGTAGAGGACCCCATGATGCCATGTGACCAGATGCTCCAATGGGCAAAGTCGCCCCAACCTGGAGTTGGGCTTTTGGGGTTTCTGTAAAATTGAGGTCTGAAGTAAATAATGAAAAGTTTAGTGTTATTTAAAGTGGAACCACGGCTGCTTCTTTCCTATTTTTTTTTCCCTTTCTTTGTTTCTGATTGGAAGCTTTCCCCGCACGTTCTGTCCAGCAGACACAACACACACATGTGAACTGCTAGAAGTTCTCATTGACTCGTATTGGAGTCCATGAGATGAGGCCGGTGGGGTGCGCTCCGTGTGTCCTGCCTTATGAAATGGTCCCATTGCTCAGTAGCAGAGTCTGCCATTTGAACTGAGCGACGATCAGAAGAAAATGTCAGAGGACTTCAGAACAGGAAGCGTAGAGATGCGGAAAGCTGGAGAAGGCTACAAAGGCATTTCCAAAGGCCAGAATTTCCATTGATCCGTCATCGGACAAACTATCTCCAAACAGAGGAAATGCAGACGGCACTGTCAGTTCTTTCTGTAGAAGAGGACGTCCTAATATCACAGCAAGAACTCCGCGTGCAGTGCAGAAGGCTAAAATAAATGTAAATCCAATCACTAAAATCTCAAATAAACTTAAAGGAGTTGTAAAGTCCCAGCACATCCTCTCCTGTTATAACATCAGCATTGTAATAGGAATACATAGTAGCATTGTTTCTGAAAATGCAATCAAAGCTTACCTGATAAAATCCCTGTTATGTAGTGAGCGTTGCCTTCCGTCTGCCCATCACTTCCAACAACTTCCTGGATTCCCAGTGTGCTTTGCATCTCTTTCCCTGCTGCTTTATGTGATGCAACCTCCTTTCTCAAGACTACACATCCCATCATGCATTGCTTCCAGCAAGCAATGATGATGTTACATTGTTCAGACGTTGAGGTGTAGTTCAGAAGGCAGGCACAAAGAAGCACAATGGTGTCGGCACATTGAGGAAGTCCTTCCTATGAGCATCTTCAGTTTACAAACTTCTAGATGGATATGGCTATTAGGAATGGGATAAAATGTATGGAAATTCAATATAGAAATACAGATTGATTTTTAGTTTTTGACTATAGAGTCTAGGGATGCACTGATACCGTTTTTTCGGTATAGAGTATGAGTACCGATACTTTGCTTTCGGTACTCGTCAATACCGAGTACAGATACAGGTGCTTCCGCTTGCATGGAGCCGGCTTCCCAGGCAATCTGACTGCCCGAGAAGCTGTATCTATGTTGTCTGGCCGGCTTGATTGTGCTTGGCCAGGAAACCGGCTTCCCAGCCAATCAGGAAGCCAGGCGGCGAGTAATGACTCGCCTCCCAGCTTTCTGATCGCATTGGGAAGCTGGCTCCATGTTCTCCTACGGCACTGCCGGCCAGACGAAATCTTCCACTGACCAGAAGTTCCAGTATTGGGGAGGGTATCGGAGCATTTGGGCGAGTACTCAGTATCGGTATCGGTATCCGTGCATCCCTAATAGAGTCCCTTTTAAACATTTAAAAAAATAAATGTAAAAATACCCCAGAAAAGTGTTTAAAGTCCCCCGCCCCCATCAACACACATATACTAATGCAAACGCACATTAGGTGCGCCTATGTATGAAAACAACAATTGCGGCACATATTAAGCATGCTGCAGAGTGAGAGCAATAATTCTAGGGCCAATATTCATGGATAAACTCTAAACTGATGACCTGTACAGGATTTTTAAGTGTTGACTATGGACAATTTGGGGTAAAAAAATGGGTATTATATTGTGTTTTTGTGCACTAAAAGTGTATTTTGTTACTGACATTTTGGGTTTAAATCCTTCATTTCCCAGAGTTGCACTAATATCACACAACATAAACATTTGCAACAGCCGTCGTTTTATTCTACTGGGTCTGTGCTTTCATAAAACATATAACTTTGGGGGGTCTTAAGTACTTTTGAGGCCTAAAATATGTATTATGTGTGCAAAAACCCCCCCCCCCCCACCAC